CCCCAAAACCCCAAAACCCCAAAACCCCTAGCTTCAAATTTTATAGATAACTAGTAGGTAGATAATATATTGATCAAAAATGTATTGATCATAATATTATTTATAAAATTTCAGACAAAGCAAAGAGAAATATCGCAGGAGTATAGATACACAAGTAAATTTTATACTTTATACTGATTTACTTTAGTAATACTAGCTGGAAACAGTAATGCTGGCAAGTCACTCATTTTTCAATAGTAATTATAGAGATTAAAGCTTAAATTTAGAATAAAAAATGAAAAAAGATATACTTTAAGCGACAAATAAACTCATTCAACTATATAAGCTGATTTTTATTAAAAGAACATATCAATCAATAACAACCAAAATGTTATCGCAAACATTTGGGATACAGGTAATTTATACAAGTTTGGCTTAACTTATTCAAATAGCTGGCGAAGAGAGATTTCTTTCATAATAAAAATCGTATATTAATTGGTCATTAAAATGTTATCAGGTTTTTTATAAAAGCAAATGGTGCTATATTGGTTTATGATATAACTGATTTGGAGTCCTTTGAGTATAAAATTTAAAATTTAACCATTTCTTATTAGAAAAGCGTAGAATTTTTGGTTTAATGAGCTGAAAAATAATGCACCTGAAAAATTAAGCATTATACTTGTAGGAAATAAGCTAGATAGAGTACAAAAAGATTCTACTTAGAGGAAGGTCCCATTAGAAAATGCATAATAATTTGCAAACAATAATAATTTGATGTTCATGGAAACATCTGCATTGTCTAAAGATTAAGTTGATCAAGCATTGAGAAAATTGCTTGAAAATGTTCATAGAAATAATCCTTAACGATATTAAGCAGAAAATACTTAAAGATTGAGAGAAGTTACTCAAACTCCATAAAAATAATCGAGCTCCTGCTGCTGAATTAATAGATTTTAGTTGCTTTCTTAAAAATGTAACTTTTATTTTTATTAACTCTAAGCTATAAAATTTCTAATCAATTCAGGCATTTAAGCTTTACGGGGTTTTGGGGTTTTGGGGAGATCGGAAGAGCA